TTCCTGTGCTGTACTGCTCTAAGGCTGTTAGCTAAACATCAGTTGTTGGGAAAATGGTGGAATTTATCAGTAAGGAAATCTTAAAGAATGCACATGGAAAAGTATAGCACGATTGGTAGAAATCAACATGGTTTAGAAAAGGGGCAAATGCCAGATGTAACATATCTATCCTGCTTGTAACTCCTCCAAGGATTCTAGTCAGTTAATCCCCTTCCTGAAGTGATGCTAACTCTATTTGATCGTACTGTGTATTTCAAGATGCTCTGTGATTATATCCTTTACAACCGACTCTAACATCTGGTTTTCCTCACAGCACTCCTACTCCTTTTCCCAACTTAAATCTCTCCCCTCTCTTTCTTGATCCTTTCATGAGCGGGAACATTTACTCTGTCCAGACCACCCGTGATTTTGAAACTTTTGTCAAATTTTCCCTCAGTCTTCTCTTCCCAAGGGGAAAAATAGTCCCAAATTCTCCAACCTCTCTTCATCACTGAAAATCCTTACCCTGCACCCCACTTTGTGTTTGTGGCCTCAGGTGGATGAAGTCGGCCCATTTCTGGTCTCACTGCAAGGGTTTTGTAGCGTAAGTAACAGCCAGTTTACTGCTCACTTCAGCCATTTATGTGATTACACGAATGCGACAAGGGTTTCTGAGAGCACACCATCCTCAGGGCTGTCTCCCACACACTCCTCCATTACTCTGACCACGTCCCCATCTCACCGAGTGAGACTTGCTGCATTCAGACACTTTCAGACTTCTGGACTACCTCTTCCCCAAGTCCACTACCAATCGCTACTAAAGTCTTTGACTTCATAAATTCAGACTGTTGTAGAGGTTTCTCTGGATGTTTTCCCTGTGGATTTAGATGAGTGGTAGTTTGTTGGCTAGAAACTAGTTGACAGTGGTTCTAAGATAACAAGGTGTAGAGCTGGATGAACACAGCAGGCCAGGCAGCATCAGAGGAGCAGGAAAGCTGACATTTCGGGCCTAGACCCTTCTTCAGAAAATTTTTAGATGCATTCCTTTCCTAAAACCTCAATTAAATCTGTTTAACCTTCCACCCTTCAGCGAGTGGAAACCTAGATTATGTTTGTGTCCTATTCTAAGAGTAACTGTCCATTGCTTGGAGTCATATGTGGGAAGATGGTCAATTGGTTGTGGGAGGTCAGTCATCTCAGCTCCAGGACATCTCTGCAGGAGTTCCTCAGGGTAGTGTCCTCAACCCAACCATCTTCTGCTGCTCCACCAATTTCAGCACAGAACCGCACGCAGAGTGAGACAGAATTGACACTAATTGAAGGTGTGATGCATACAATTCCAAGGATGGTACTGCTCAGAGGAAAGTGCAAATATCCAAGAGATTGAAAAGAAAATATTGTCTACTACAGCACAGATGACACCAACAATTATAAAAAAACATCAGGTGTGACATCAGGTGGTTAGCGCTGCTGTCTCACAGCGCCAGGGACCCGGGTTCGATCCCAGCCTCGGGCAACCCTCTGTGAGGAGTTTGCACGTTCTCCCCGTGCCTGCGTGGGTTTCCTTCGGGTGCTCCGGTTTCCTCCGGGTGCTCAGTCCAAAGATGTGCAGGGTTAGGGTGGATTGGCCATGCTAAATTGCCCATAGGGTCCAGGGATGTGCAGGCTGGGTGGGTTAGCCATGGGAAATGCAGTGTTATCAAGATAGGGTAGGGATTTGTGTCTGGCTCCTCTGATGCTGCTTGGCCTGCTGTGTTCATCCAGCTCTACACCTTGTTATCTCGGAATTGTTTCCTGATTTCACTGCTGGGCACCTGGCTGCAGTTTTCATATCAAGTGCCTTTGTGCAATCCAGTGAAAACAGGGGATTTAGACAGAACCATCTGCACTCATGCATCATTTCAGCATTTCAAACAAATCACTCTTAATCTTCTAAATTCCAGAGACCAGGAGCCTACTATCTGCCTTTGTACTAGCTATGTATCCAGCGAGTGGAGCGATCATTGCTATTTTGCCTGTGGGTTAAAATGCTGTCTTTGTTTTGTTGTTTGTTTGATGTGTGAGTATGTAAAATTAGGCTACAGATATTGTGACTCTAGAATATTCTATCCTGCCAAGTTTTTCATCCCCCCAAGGTCTTTATGATTCATTCACTCACAAGACACGAGTGAGATTGGCAAGTGAGGGCTCTTTCAGGGGGCTGTTCAGGGGCAGTCACATTGCTGTGGGTCTGGAGTCACATGGAGACCAGACCGGGTAAGGATGGCAGATTTCCTTCCCTAAAGGACATTAGCGAACAAGTTAATTTATGGCAGCAGTGTCATGGTCACCATTACTGAGGCAAATATTTTATTCCACATCAACAGCACTCAGATTCCCAGACTGTAGTGTTAGAAATTGAATTCACATATGGATCATTAGACCAGACCACGTCTCAGGACAAAACCTCTCCTATATGCTACTGTACCCATCAACAACTTATTTAGCTGGAGAGGGCTCCTCCCACCTCACTGACCAATCCCCACCACTCCCTACCTGCACTCACCTATTACCATCCCACCTACCCTTCCCAGCCCCATCCCCCTTCTCCCTATTTATTTCAGAGCTCCCTTCCCCTCCCCCCCGCCATTTCTGAAGAAGGGTCCCAATCCAAAACGTCAACTTTCTTGCTCCTCTGATGCTGCCTGGCCTGCTGTGTTCCTCCAGCTCCACACTGTTATCTCTGACTCCAGCATTGGCAGTTCTTACTGTCTCTAAAGTCAACATAGTCCTACTTTTCCATTAGAGAGAGATGACTGGTGATGGTTTAACCTGAGGGTCACCATACCTAAGGCAAGGAGAGATGTGTCAACTTAACAACATCAATTGTTATTTTGTAGGGACGTAGGCTGAAATCCTGTGCCTCATCTTCTTATCAAACTGTCTGACAGTGATTTGCTGGGTGCAACCTAACAATAATGATGCACAGTAGTCTGTTCTTAAGGTGCCATGTTCACTTATAGACTCATAGAGTCGTACAGCACAGAAATAGACCGTTTGGTCCAACCAGTCCATTCCGAACATAATCCCAAACTAAACTAGTCCCATCTGCCTGCTCCTGGCCCATACCTCTCCAAACCTTTCCTATTCATATACTTATTTAAGCGTCTTTAAAACTTTGTAACTGTACCCACATCCACCACTTCCTAAGGAAGTTCATTCCACACACGAACTGCCCTCTGTGTAAAAAATTTGCCCCTTGTGTCTTTTTTTAAATCTCTCTCCTCTCACCTTAAAAATGTGACCGCTAGTCATGAAATTCTCCGTCCTAGGGAAAAAGACACCTAACATTAATTCTATCTACGTCCCTCATGATTTTGTAAACCTCTATCAGGTCATCTCTCAACCTCCTACGCTCCAGTGATAAAAAGGTCCCAGCCTAATCAGAGATAGTAAGAACTGCCGATGCTGGAGTCAGAGATAACACAGTGTGGAGCTGGAGGAACACAGCAAGCCAGGAAGCATCAGAGGAGTAGGAAAGCTGACGTTTCAGGTCAGAAATGGGGGAGGGGGAAGGGAGCTCAGAAATAAATAGCGAGGAGGGGTGGGACTGGGGAGGTTAGGTGGGATGGTGATAGGTGAGTGCAGGTAGGGAGTGGTGGGGATTGGTCAGTGAGGTGGGAGGGGGCAGATAGGTTTGAGAGAAGATGGACAGGTTGTCAGGTCAAGGAGGCGGGGATGACAGGGAGGGTTGGTCATGGATTAGGCCGGGGGTAGGGAGATTTTGAAACTGGTAAAATCCACAGAGACCATCGGGCTGTAGGCTCCCGAGGTGCAATATGAGGTGCTGCTCCTCCAGTTTGCAGGTGGTGTCATTGTGACACTGGAGGAGGCCCACGATGGACATGTCACCCAGGGAGTGGGAGGGGGAGTTGAAATGGTTCACGACCAGAAAGTGTTGTCGTTGTCACAAACAGAGCATAGGTGCTCTACAAAGCGATCTCCAAGCCTCCGCTCGGTATTACCAATGTAGAGGAGGCCACATTGGGTGCAGCGGAAGTAATAGACCACAAGTGTGTACCGTCTACAAGATACACTGCAGAAACTCACCAAAGATCCTCAGACAGCACCTTCCGAACTGTCACTGCACCTTTCATCACTTTCCAATCTCTCACTGTTAGCTTGTCTGTGGTTCCTTCTCCCAAACCTTCCATTCCCTCAACATCACCTTCTCCCCTCTCCCTTAGCCCTTCCCTATTCTCTCCCTTCACCCTCCACCTCCCAGATGTTTTGGGATCTTCCAGTGTGAGTGGTTAGCTGGAGATGGTGGAGTTAGAACATAGAACATAGAACAGTACAGCATAGTACAGGCCCTTTGGCCCACGATGTTGTGCCGACCTATTGTCCTACTCTAAGATCAAACTACACTGCATACCCTACATTTTACTATCCTCCATGTGCCTATCAAGAGTTGCTTAAAAGTCTCTAAAGTATCTGACTCCATTACCACTGCTGGCAGCGCATTCCACGCACCCACCACTCTCTGTATAAAGAACCTACCTCTGACATCTCCCCTATACCTTCCTCCAATCACCTTAAAATTATGCCCCCTTGTAATAGCCATTTCCAGCCTGGGATAAAGTCTCTGACTATTCAGTCTATCTATGCGTCTCATCATCTTGTACACCTCTGTCAAGTCACCTCTCATCCTTCTTCACTCCAATGAATAAAGCCCTAGCTCCCTCAACCTTTCCTCATAAGACCTGCCCTCTAGTCCAGGCAGCATCCTGGTAAATCTCCTCTGCACCCTCGCTAAAGCTTCCACATCCTTCTTATAATGAGGTGACCAGAACTGAACACAATATTCCAAGTGTGGTCTAACCAGGGTTTTATAGAGCTGCAGCATAACCTCGCGGCTCTTAAACTCAATTCCCCTGCCAATGAAAGCTGGAAGTTGAGAGTTAGCTGTGTTGTGTTGGCCCACTGCCATTCTAGGCTCATTACAATCACCAGCTGTAATTTCCTGAATGTTTACTCTTGTTGTACTTGATTGCTGAGCTTGAGTTCCTTTACTGCTCGGTAAACACACAACACTACAATGCAACTCTCAGTGTTACACAGAAAAAAACTTACCAAGTGCAGAGCTCCCTCCATAACGTGCACTGCTTCATCCAATTGTATTCCAGTCAACCCAACTCTTTACAAATCAGAATCTCCACAGCGAGACTGTGACAGCAGAATGCATCTGTTCCTTTTGATTTCTCCCTCCCTGTCCCTCAATCTCTCTCTCCCTGTCCTTCAATCCATCTCTCCTGCTCCCTATCTCTCCCCCCGTCCCTCAAACTCTCTCTCCTGCTCCGTCTTTATCCCTCTCTCCCTATCTCTCAATTCCTCTCTCCCATCCCTCAATCCCTCTCTCCTGTTCTCTGTCTCCCTATCCCTCTCTCCTGTTCTCTGTCTCTATCCCTCTCTTTCTCCTATTCCCAATCTCTCTATCCCTCTCTCCTCTGCCCCATCTCCCAATCTCTCTCTCTCTTGTTGCCTATCTCTATCTCTCTCCCATTCTACATCTGCCTCCTCGATCTCTGCACTGTTCTCTGTCTCTTGCTCTCTTATGCTCTCTCCACCTCTTTCCCACTGTCGCTTCTCCTAACTGTATCCTCTCGCCCACACTCTCTGATGTGCCGTCTGCCCCACGACCCAGTCTTTGGCTTTAGAAATCTGACTTGTTTGATCTTTCTCTCTCTCGCTCCTTCACCCCACCTCCGTGCTCTCGCTGTCTGTCTCTCCTTCTATCTTAGCCCACACCGCTCTGGCTTCACCACCTGCCTGTGGAATTCAGACAGGGAGCACATATTGTGTGCAGGCCCATACTCCCTAAACCAGAGAGGAACAGCGAGCGGGGGAAATGACATCAGAGACGGCCGATCGAGCTCCCTTGCCCGAGGCTGTAAGTGCTCTGAGTTACACTGTTCATGCCAAACACTGCTCCAAGTTACAGTTTCATACCAAACACTGCTGGGTGTGGTATCAGAACCTGCTCAAAAACACCAGGCAGCTAAACCCAGAGAATACGCAAACGTTTCCCTGGCATTCACTCCCTCACCTTCCAGAACCTTCATCAACTCTTTTCTTTTAACCTGGCACAGGTCTGACGTGATGGGGGTATATCGCTCCCAGAAGGAGAGAGATTTCCCCATGGACAGCAGGGGGTTAGACACAGGGGAAAGCTTCCTCTACACTGTCCCCCATCAACACTCTCAGGACAGGGACAGCACGGGGTTAGACACAGGTGAAAGCTTCCTCTACACTGTCCCACATCGACGGTCCCAGGACAGGGACAGCACGGGGTTAGCCACAAGGGAAAGCTTCCTCTACACTGTCCCCCATCAACACTCCCAGGACAGGGACAGCACGGGGTTAGATACAGAGTAAAGCTCCCTCTACACTGACCCATCAAACACTTCCAGGGACAGGGACAGCACGGGGTTAATGTTATTCGTTATGAGATGAAGACTGGTGCCCACTTTGTGAATTTCTGTGTATCTCCATTCCAGGATTAGAGTCAGTTCTCTGTGTGTTGTTGGTCAGGTTAAGGGCTGGTCAATGACTCATGGGAAATGGTCAATAGTCAAGTCTGAGTCTGTGAAGCTGCTTTGCTGATGGCATCTATCTGAGACCTTCAATCTTGAGGAAAAAACAGGTCAAAAATTTTGTGGCCCACACAGTTACATAAGGACATAAGAAACAGGAGCAGGAGGAGGTCATCTGGCCCATCGAGCCTGCCCCGCCATTCAATAAACTCATGGCTGATCTTTTCATGGACTCAGCTCCACTTACCCTCCAGCTCACCACCTCCCTTAATTCCTTTACTGTTCAAAAAATTATCTATCTTAGCTTTTAAACGCCTCAACTGTTTCACTGGGCAGGCAATTCCACAGATTTACAACCCTTTGGGTGAAGAGGTTCCTCCTCAACACCGTCCTAAATCTGCTCCCCCTCTTTCTGAGGCTATGCCCCCTAGTTCTAGTTTCTCCCGCCAGTGGAAACAACCTCCCTGCTTCTATCTTATCCATTCCCTTCATAATTTTATATGTTTCTATAAGATCCCCCCTCATTCTTCTAAATTCCAATGAGTATAGTCCCAGTCTACTCAGTCTCTTCTCATAATCCAACCCGGTCAACCTAGTGACTCTCCTCTGCACCCTGTCATGATCATTGCTTGTTATGTCTGTCCAAATAAATAATCATTGCTTTGAACTCTGAGTCCCACTGCCTTCTGTTTGTAAATTAACCTGGCCCCAGGTTGTCGTTCTCCGAGCTTTATTTAACTAAATTGCTCAGAATTTCTCAAACCTCACCAGGGCAGTGGGAGAAACTGAATTCCAGCAATTATAGGCCGCCAATAAGGTGATCATCCCCAGTTAAAGAGATGAGTATCTTTCAGTCCATTCTAAAATCCCACCCCGTTCCCTGAGGGGAAGTTTAATTGAGGTGCGCTCGTTCTTTTTTATGTGTAGAAGGAACAGGTAGGAAGGAATTATTTCCACCAGGAGAGAGAGAAATAACCAAGCAACATTGACTGAAAGTAGTTAATGGATGGAAGCTGGGGGAATGTGATCTAGGGGCGGTTCTCACCCAGTGCAGGATGTGGGGGGTCTAGAATACACTGCCTGAAGGGATAGTAGAGACAGAAGACTCCATTGCAAAGATAATCTTGTATTTGCAATGCACAGGCTGTAACCTACAGGGCTACAGACTAAAAACTGGTCAATAGCTGGTGGTCAGGTTGTGCTTTAAGAAGCCAATAGTTTGGGCTGATGCACTGAGTTCAAATCCCACCATGCTAGCTAGTGGAATTAATCAGGGTAGCACAGTGGCTCAGTGGTTAGCACTGCCAGGGACCTGGGTTCGATTCCAAACTCGGGTGACTGTCTGTGTGGAGTTTGCACATTCACCTTGTGTCTGCGTGGGTTTCCTCCAGGTGCTCCGGTTTCCTCCCACAGTCCAAGGATGTGCAGGTTAGGTGCATTGGCCATGCTAAATTACCCATAGTGTTCAGGGATGTGTAGATTAGGGGTGTGGGATGCTCTGAGGGTTGGTGTGGACTTGTTGGGCCGAAGGGCCTGTTTCCACACTGTAGGGATTCTAACGTGTCTACAATTTATTGGTAATCATGGCATCATTCATCATAAAAGCCAACCTGACTCATTAAAGCACTTCAGGGAAGGAAATTTACAATCCTTACCCAGTCTCATGTACAAGTGACTCCAGACCCAAAGCAGTTCCTTTTTTTTTATTCACTTGTGGGATGTGGGTGTCCCTGGCTGCGCCAGTATTTATTGCCCGTCCCTAGTTGCCCCCTTGAGAAGGTGGGGGTGAGGTGCCTTCCTGAACCGCTGCAGTCCTCCTGCTGTAGGTTGACACACAATGCCATTAGGGAGGGAATTCCAGGATTGTGACCCAGTGACAGAACATAGTGAAATCTTGCTTCAATGGTATAGGAGTTTGGACTGCACTCGGAGGACGGTGTGCAGTTGGTCTCCTAATCTCGGGGAAGGAGCTCTGAAGATTCACTAGACTGCTCCTGGGATTGATGGGACTATTGTATGGAGAGAGACTGGGGAAACTGAACCTGTATTCTTTAGAGTTTCAAAGAATGAGAGGTGATCTCATTGAAACTTGCAAAATTCTTAAAGGGATAGACAGGACAAAATGTTACCCCTGGTTGGCAAGTCTACAAGCAGGAGCACAATTTAAAAATCAGAGAGATTCCACTTAGGTTCAAGATGAGCTTGCCGAGAGGATTGTGAATTCCCTAGCTCACAGGGTTGGGGAGACTCAGTCTTTGAGTATGTTTAAGGAAGAGCTTGCTAGATTTCTGACTACCACCGGGTACAGAGTTATGGTGATGGGATGGGTACAGGGAAATGTTTGATCAGACTTGATTGTGTTGAATGGCAGGGAAGGTTTGATGGGCTGAATGGCTTCCTCCCACTCCTATGTTCTTTACATGCTCTCTGAAATGGCCTCGCAAGCCACTCAGTGGAGGGCAGTTAGAGCAGAGCAACAAACACAGGTCGTGCGAATGGTGCCTACATCCTGTGACTGAATAAAGAACTGGACTAGGTCACTCTTTCATGTCTGTCACAATGGGCTGAATGTCCTCCTTTAGAGAAGGAGCCTTGCTGTCCTCACTCCCCTCTCTCTGCCACTTTGTCCTCTGGTACCAATGGTTTAAAAGGACTTACCAATGTTGGATTTAAAATGAATATTCTGTTTGTAGAAGACAGTTCCAAACCTCTCCGACCCCTTGTGCTTGCAAATGTTTTCTCATGTTTACTCTCGCTCGGTTTGTCAAGCTATGCTGCTTCGTCATAGACTCCCCAGTTCGGGATGGCCAAAAACTGCTGGTCATTCCAATAATGCTCATGGCCCAAGAATAAACTCAGACAAGGAAGAAGCATCCAGTCAGTTACCTCAAAGCTGAGGAATCCTGAGGCCGAAAGGTCACAGACAAGGTGGTCAACGCCCCTGGCAATTCTCCTGCACTTAATGATCTTAAAACAACACCAGGGCTGTGGGTGGAAAATTCCGGAATATAGTGCTACACTTTGCTAAGCTGCAATATCCTGTAGAGGTAACAAGGTGATGGAGAGGGTGAGATGTCACTGGAAATTCTGAAACACAACTTCAGAACATTGAGTGTCATTAACCTCGAAAAAGAGTTTGTTAGAGCGCAAATAGGAATAAATACTCAAGCCTCACAGAGGCACAATGGTGCAGTGATATTGGACAGGGAGTAATATTGGAGAGGGAGTGATATTAGAGAGGGTGTGATATTAGAGAGGGTGTGATATTGGAGAGGGAGTGATATTGGAGAGGCAGTGATATTGGGCAATGGAGCGATTTTGGACAGGGAGACATATTGGAGAGGGAGCGATATTGGATAATTGAGTGATATTGGAGAGGGAATGA